CTGAAGCTTCTACTTGCATATGAAAACCAAGGTTAAACTAGATGGCATGTAGGAACCTTCCAGTTTTAAAGTCTGACTTCCAACTCAGGATACATTTAAGTTGAAAAATATTCACTGTTTTCAGATTTAGAAACTGGTTGCCTAGTAACATGGACATGGACCTGGGACTTGTGCTGGCTGGTCAGCATCACAGAGCGTCATGTTTTTCCTCTGTGCCATCACCAGTCCAGTTCTATTTTTTTTTCTTTTATGAAGGAGATCATATGCACAAGAGAGCTAAGAGGCAGAGAGCCAGGCATCCTTGACAGCGTCTCATCACACCGCTGCTCCCTCCCAGCCCTCTAGTCAGGGTCTTAGGTGCACGCACTTGCCTGGTATGTTTCAGGGACTCAGAATCTGAACCCACAGCCAGCCATGTGGTTTCTAGCACGTGGTTCAGTATGTTACTGCCTGCCCCACCCTGGCTGGGCCTGTACATACTTCTTAACTCCTACCTCTCTCTCCTTTAGTTCCCAAGTTCAGCCAACAGTTGCTGTTGGTTTTATACACTGACTACCTTTCCAGTCGATTCACTTCTTTCCAGCTCTGCTGCAGGTTGTTGAATCCAAGTGATCCCTTTAATCAACATTGTTGTAACTCCCTCTGGCCTTCTCCAGCCTGCTTTCCACTGGTCGCTGTCATGGCCTTATTTACTTATTTATTTTAAGAGGCTTTTGCTATAGGATGTGTGCACTCGCCAGAAAGACAGAGACAGAAAGCGAGAAATCACCTCCCGGGGGGGATGGCCATGCCACAATCCTTTCTCTTTCATTCTCCTCTCGGGATCTTGGGCACACATGCACGCGCGCCCAGCATGAGTTTAAGCCACCAGGTCCGAGACTCAAACTGCAGTTGACTACGTGGGAGTTCAGAAACATAGCCATTACACTAATTACTGGTCCCACTGTCACGGCCTTTTAAAACTATTTGATCATGGGGCCGGCAGATGGTGTGGTGGTTAAGGGTGCTGGGCTCCCACATGGCCCACCATGGTCTGTGTCTCGGACCTGGTGGCTTGCTTTCTCACTTTCCCTCTCTCTTTCACTTTGTCTCTCTCTCACTTTAAAAAAAAAACCTATTTGATCATATCATTCCTCTTCTTTAAAAAGCTTTTCAGTTATGTACCACGTTCTGGGAAGACCCCTCCTTCACGTTGTATGCAGACCCTGTGTGATCAGCTCTTCCGTTTCCATCTTGGCTCTCTACCACTTCCCGAATTCTCTACACAGTCCTCTCGTTTCCTGCAGCATGCTCCTTCCAGCCCGATGGTGGGAAGGACTGAAGCTTCTACTTGCATATGAAAACCAAGGTTAAACTAGATGGCATGTAGGAACCTTCCAGTTTTAAAGTCTGACTTCCAACTCAGGATACATTTAAGTTGAAAAATATTCACTGTTTTCAGATTTAGAAACTGGTTGCCTAGTAACATAGCCAGTGGAAGCCGGAGTCCTCCCATCCTTGGCTTTTCAATGAGAAAGTAGCCCCTTTGGAGCCAGTTTAGTTAGCTGCTTTGGAACATCTTCCCTCAGTGATCATGTTTGTCGTATTATCTGTGAGTGTTATTACCCCTCTTTCACAAGCACATCTCATCG